TTGGAGCACTGTGTGTGGTTCTGATTGCCACACTATAGAAAGCATGTGAAGAGTTTGAAAAGCATGCAAAATAGGTTCACAAGGATGTTCCCTGGATTGGAGTGTATTAGATATAAGAGAGGTTGGATGTTGGATGCTAAGGATGATCTAAAAGAAGTATTTACAGTTATGAAAGATATGGATAGGGTGAAGAGTCAGATTCTATTTCCAAGGGTGGAAATGTCAAGTCGTAGGACCTATAGGTTTAAGATAAGAGGGATAAACTTTAAAAGAGATATGCGAGGCAGTTTTTTTTTTACACAGAAAGTGGTAGGCACGTGGAGCATGCTGCCAGGGGAAGTAGTAGAAGCAGATATGCCAGCAATGTTTAAAAGGCATTTAGATACACACATGAACAGGCAGGGATTGAGGGATATGGATCATGTGCAGCCAGATGGGATTAGTTTGGAATGGCATCGTGGTCGGCACAGACATGGTGGGCTGAAGGGCTTGTTCCTGTCCTGTACTGTTCTATGTTCTAAGAACAGGTCATAGGTTAGGAATACTGCAGTGAATAACTCATGTCCTGACTCCCCAAAGCCTGTCCAGCATTGACAAGGCCCAAGTCAGGAGTGTGATGGAATACTATCTACTTGCTTGGATGGGTGCAGCTGCAATAATGCTCAAGAAGCTTGACATCTTCTAGGTAAAAGCAGCCCACTTGATTGGCACCACATCGATAAACATCCACTCCCTCCAGCACTGACACTCAGTAGCAGCAGTGTGTACTATTTACAAGATGCACTGCAGAAATTCACCAAAGATCTTCAGACAGTGTCTTCCAAACCCACGATCACTTCCATCTAGAAAGATAAGGGCATCAAATATATGGGGAACACGACCACCTGCATGTACCCCTCCAAGCCACTCACCATCTTGACTTGAAATATATAACCATTCATTCACTGTTGCTGGATAAATTCCTGGAATTCCCACCCTAATGGCATTTTGGGTCAACCTACAGCATGTAGACTGCACTGATCGAAGAAGGCAGCTCACCACCACCTTCTCAAGGGCAACTAGGGATGGGCAATAAATGCTAGTCCACCCAGAGATGCCCATGGCCAATGAGTGAACATTAGATAAATTGTAACTTGTGTGTCTGCCAAAAATCTGAGAACAGCTTTGAACACACCCACAAAATAAGCTGTAGTGAGCGGAGCCCATGAGGGTGGCATTTCAACACTTTCTGGCCGCCCCTTCCTGGTTTTGAATGATCTGGTTTGGACCCAAGGTGTGCAACTTGACACTGAGACATACAAAATGGATGATAGCAAGTTCATTTTGCCTTTCCCTATGTATATTTCTGATGAAGACTTATTCAGTAACACTTTGTTAGGGTTGCAATCCTCAGCAAAATGTCTCCTACCAGCTCTCTTAGAATGATTCAATACAGTCAACCACAAATGGTTGCAGCACAGGGACAGATCTGCAATAATTTTACAGCTAAGCTTCCAGTATTCACCGCAGCTTCTTAGGATCGTCCTGATATGAAGTTAAAAAAAACCCCACAAGTGGCCCACAAGTACTGCTGGTACACTGACATGGCTGGGGTCAGTTAGCTCAGTTGGCTGGTTGGCTGGTTTACAATGTAGAGTGGGTTTAATTCCTGCACTGGCTGAGGATACCATGAAGGACTCTCTTGCTCAATGTTACCCCTCACCTGAAGTGGGGTGATCCTCAGGTTAGACCACCACCAATATTCTCTCACTAATGAAAGGGCAGCCTTATGGTCCAGTAGGACTATGGTGACTTTTCCTTTTACTGACAAAAATAATCAATACTTTGTTCTTGCTCCGTTGATGAGAGATACATTTACTCCATTTTTCATTGAGTTTTAAATATCCTTGCACCAGTAATGATCTTCACAATTACATATTATTTCCCTATAATTAGGTATTGAGTTGTTAGTCTAAACTCCATAACAAAGTCTATTTTGACTGGCCTAGTTCATATCTAATGAGATTTATGTGAATCATGATGATATAACTGAATACATGACATCAGTAACAGAGGAGACATCAGTTATATAAACATGTGAAGAGAGATGTCTTAGACACTACATAAGATAGCTGTATTCGATAACCTACCACGTTACAGATTTAAACTCAAGTTTTCACTTTGTCATAGAATTACAGCAAAGCGGAATGAGTTATTGGTTGAGACCTGATTGAAATTTTCTAGGAGGTTGCCTGTTCACCCTCAGCTCTGAGATCAATTTTTGTTAGTCGTGCTATCTTTCATCATTGCTCACTCTCTAGTCAATCTGTTTTTGGTCTATACAGTGAGTTAGCAATAACTAACCTTGAAACTGTTGCCTAGAATCACATCCTGAAGTCATAGGTCCCATAATTTTGTAACATATATGTTTTGGCTGTACCTAACCTGAATGCAGAGCAAACAGCACAGATTTTTTACTACACTTTTTCTTTCATTTGTGAAAAAACTACGATTTGGTTTGTTAGCAATCTCCTGAATTTTACAATCAGAGGAAACCATAGGCTCTGAACTTGGATTTGTGTAAGCAGAGAAAGATTTAAATGGTCTCATAAGTCTTATGTAACTTCTTCACAGTGGTTCTGTAAAGGTCCATCTGTAAATCGAATAAGATATTTAAAATCACAGAAATTAAATTTTGGTCGAAATGCATCAGAAGTAAAACAATACTCCCCAAGAAATCAGTCACAGAAAAGTTCTCTCAAGCGTACATGTTACAAAAGGCTACAATTTAGTTGGTATAAGAAATAAAAAGCTGTACTGTTTCTGTAGATACAGCAAGTGAATAAGAATTGTGCTCTGACAATATTGCAAAGATTACTGATATTCAATTAATATGGTCACCTGATTATACACAAACGATAACAGGACAAACATAAACAAATCACATTGGCATCTATCTAACACCTTTATGAAAGCTGTAACCAGCACAATGGCTTTGTGGTAAGTGATGATTTGTTTAGGAACATGTGATGCATTTATATTAAATTCTTTTGCGTACTATTTTAATAAATCATCAAACCAGTTCAAATGAACAGGTTAGCACATGTATTAAAATGCAGAAGAAAAGAATTCAATACAAGTTTGTTAAGTGTGCATATGCTATTCTTCACAAATCACAAGCTTTCGGAGTGCTGCTCCTTCGTTAGATGCTTCACCTGACGAAGGAGCAATGCTCAGAAAGCTTGTGATTTCAAAGAAATCTGTTGGACTATAACCTGGTATCATGTGACTTATGACTTCCTCCACCCTGGTCCAACACTAGCACCTCCATATCCTGAATTTTCCCAGCCTCTGAATGACATGGGTCAAGGAAAGACAGTTGGGAAAATATGGTGAGATTGGAAAACAAGATTCTTGATGTCAGGGAAACTATTATCTGATTTGCCACCTAAGATTTGAACAATGAGATAAGGATCTTGCTAGTGAGTAATGAATATTTTTTGCATGCATTTATATTTGATTAGTACCTAATTTCGCTTAATTTAGATACAATGTTTTATTCCCCCACAGTGTGGAGAGAAATTAGGTGGCAATCTCTCGCAACATAAATACCAGGAGATCTTGGACAAACTTTATTGTTTTTGTTAGAGCGTCAGAGACAGAGGAGCGACCTGCTAGAGGTGTATAAAATTACAAGAGGCATGGTGGATAGTCAGAGTTTTTTTCCCAGGGTCGAAATGTCAAATACTAGGGGTCATAGGTTTAAGGTGAGAAGGGGAAAGTTGAAGGGTCATGTGCAAAGAATGTTTTTTACACAGAGGGTGGGAGATACCTGGAACATACAGGCAGGAGAGGTGGTAGAAGCAGATATGATAGCAATATTTAAGGGGCATTCAGACAGACATTTGAGCAGGCAGGGAATAGAGGGATACAGATCATGTACAGCCAGGTGGGATTAGTTTAGAATGACATCATGGTTGGCACAGACATGGTGGGCCAAAGGTCCTGTTCCTGTGCTGTACTGTCTATGTTCTATGAAAGTCAGAGTGGGAACCTGGTGACTCCAGCTCACCATTTGCCCCTCCAGGCTTTCATCTTGGACAGCAGTCCCTGACATTTCAGGCATGTTCCACGGGCAGTAGCTGTCGGTACCTTACTCCTGTTCATGGAGGTTGGCATCACACACGTACCAAGCTTACTTTATCATCACGTCACCAACGCACCTCAAATACAGTTCCCCACTTTAATGCTGCACTTTAGAACACACCAAAACCTTACATTTTCCTGGTTCAACAATGATATTGGAAATAAAGGTTTGTTTAACATTGGCCACAAACATCATATTCTAAAAGCCTGGATTGAAACAGAATATAGTGTAATCACTTCTTATTAAATGTTATCTTGTCTCTGACTGTGATGAGTTTGAATCTTGAGGTCCCTTTTCAGCATTACCACCTAGGGGCTAATCTGGCACAAGGGACTGGTGACCTAGGTAAAACAAGGCTAACTTTTCATGGTATTGATTTCACAATATGAAGGCGAGCAGTGAATTACACCAGCATACTGTTCGACAACCCTTCCTCAACAAATTCCTTATTAAACTGATTAGTCGTTAATGGTGGTATAATAATTACATTATTGGACTAGTATCTGAGAGATTAGAATTAATAATTCAGAAAATGTGTATCTTCAGAATGAAAAGGAATCTGCTCATTCATTTAACTTACACCTTATAAGATCTTGCTCTTTACAAATTGTCCTGCTTTCCCACATAACCAATGAGTTGAATTATTGAAGAATTTAAAAGCAAAATACAGCAGATACTGGAAATCTGAAATAAACAGAATGCTGGAGAAACCCAGTGGCTCTAGCAGCATCTGTGGAGAGAGATACAGCGTTAATATTCTGTAGAAGAGTCGTGTTGGACTTGGAAATGGTAACTCTGCCTCTCTCTCCGCAGACGCTTCCAGACCTGCTGAGCTACTCCAGCATTTCGCTGTCTTTGTTATTGAAAAATTTACCTTTACTCCTTTGTCACCTTTTAGTCCTGGTTTCCCAACATCACCCTGAGGAAGGAGAAGAGAAACAAAGTTTATTTCTGGAACTCAGACTTGCAGCTAAATCAATAAAAATAAATCTCATTTAAAATTATGAGAAGTATGGTAATAACCAAATAAAACATATAAGCATTGAAAATAGGAGTAGGCGTAGGTCCTTTGGCTCACTGAGCCTGCTCTGCCATTCAATATAAACATGGCTGGTCATCCAACTTAGTACCCTGTTCCTGTTTTTGCCACATACACTTTGATCCCTTTAGCGCTAAGAAGTATATTTAACTCCTTCTTGAAAACATTAAACGTTTTGGCTCCAACCACTTTCCGTGGCAGAGAATTCCACAGGCTTACCATGGTCTGGATGGAGAAATTTTTTTTCCTCCTCTCTGTCCTAAATGGCCTGCCCTGTATCCCTAGCCTGTGACCCCTGGTTCTGCACTCACTGGTCATCAGCAACATATTCCCTGCATTTACTCTTCCAGTCCTGTTAAAATTTTATAGGTCTTAGCATGGTGCTCACCTTTTCGCCACGATCTCCAATCTCACCCTGATGAAAAGAAACAGCAGAAAGGAAAGAATTCTGAATAGGAACATTAGAAATGCACAGGTTGCAGTAGACTCAACTCGATGCGGCTCCAACATGAGGATCTCTGCCCAAAAATAGAAAACTGAATTCATCTTTATCTTTGACATTTGTGCTCAGTAATTTGTAATGATAAACTGTGCTTTGGATAAGATTTTAAGCTGTATCGGTAGGGCTGTGGATATCATTGTGAACTCGGGAGTTGAAGAAGGGAAAATGTTTGAGTATTTGAAACCCAATATAATCCTCTTGACATCAGGCCAAAAGAAATGGAAAACCCTTGTAAAACAGGCTTCTTATGCTTGAAATATACCAAGTTGCCTCTGGTTGTAAAGCTAATCCAGTAAGTAATTTCTAATCAGCCTGTCAGAGATGTTTTTACACACCTCTGGAGCAGGTGGGACATGAGCCCAGGCCTTCTTGCTCAGAGGTAGGGACACTACCATTGTGCCACTATAGCTTTGAGATAACCCTCTGTTTCAACTTTAACTGCTCATGCACGTTTCCCGAGCGATTTTAAATTTGCCAGGGTCAAACCGAGCGAGAGCACAGTGGACACTGACACAGTTGAAAGACCTTTAAATGTTGAACTATATCAGTTGCTTCTATGTCAAAGTGAAAAGCTTTTGCTCACAGGCCTTTTCTAACCATATACTTTCATTGCTTTAGGGGTAAAATCCAAACCCTGAGGTTACTTCCGCTGCCTTGGGCTTTGACCTACATGTCCTTCCTGACACAGACTTCTCAGCATCATGGGGCCAGTTTATACAGTTGAAACCTGGGTATCTGAAGAACAGCAGCTGCAGCAGCTGCTGCCTTTTCCTCAGCCACCTGCATCTAAACGTGACTGAGGGGTTAACACAGAGGTCCAGCCTAAAGGAGGCACGATTCCAGCATGGGTTATATTCCGGTAGAGGTTCGGCTTCCTGCTTAGGGAGCCTGCCTTAGATTGTTCAGACTTAATCAGCAAGTTGCTGGCAACATCTGTAGGTCCTGGCATATGACCTCTTTCCAAATGGGCCAGGTAGGTATGCAATGCCTCTCAATGACCTCTCAAGGTCACCTGCATTTCCTTGCCTCCGGCTCCTCCCAAGGATCTGCTGGTGACATTTGCAGTATCTCACAACAGTATTTCCCAGGTGACCATCACTATGTTTGGCTAAACACCCAATTATGTCCTCCGTGCTACTGGTGAGGCCAATCAGAGCAAGGGGCCCTCAAATCTGTGATAACAGCTAGGTTGTCATAATTATGGGGAGACGCAGATTGCACCCATGTGACTATCAAGGCATTGTCAGATCAACCAGCAAAATTCATCAGCCAAGAGGACTTGTCACTGCATTAATGCTCAGCTCCTGTGCAACTACTGGAAAGCATCCATGCATGTCATAACCTGAAAGCTTCCTTCATTCTGTACCAAGATTCCCCCTGAACCTGACACCCCCAGATAGGCAGGAGATATGCTTGGAGGCAAGGGCTATCCTCTCAGAACATCGTGGATAAACTCTGTGGGAAAGCTACAATAAAAGAACAGGAAAAGCAGTTGGAGCTAAACGGGCACTATGGTGGTCATAGAATAAGCTATTTGGTTGCTGAAGATGTGATTCAGGTGCCTGGACAGGTCTGGAGGTGCCCTTCATTTTGCTCCAACAAACCTGTCCAGAATAGGAGCTGTCTATTGAGACTTGCATAACAAAGAGCAGCAGAGAAGAGAGAAGCAGAGTTAATGTGAGATAACAAGGTGTAGAGCTGGATGAACACAGCAGGCCAAGCAGCGTCAGAGGAGCA